GATGGATGAATGCTGCTGCTGGGGGGGGAGTGGTCCGGGGGCAATCAAGCAGAAAGTGCCCCCGGTGACGAGATCCACGAGCGAGAGGAGAACAATCTCAGCCTTGAGGTTATTTTTCCCGGACTCATGGTGAGGAGTAATTGGTCAATCAGATCTCCAACCTCAAGGCCTCTGATGGCTGATTGAAGGTGTGATTTCTTTTCTGGCCATCAAAGCTAGAGGGTCGCTCCTGCTGAGCGCCATCGCTGAAGAATTGTTCTCAAGGTCTCCAGGCTTTGGAGCTACAAGGCTAGAGCACTGATCTCCAATTGCAATACGTTTGCCCCACATTGTGTTTGCCGTCTCACCATGGCTCTGCTAAAACATCGCCCCACAGTTTGGATATATCCAGCTTTACCCGGTGCAAATTGGAAGCAGTCGTGCAGGGTCAAAGTGGAACTTGTGAAAGCCAACCTCACCTTGCAATGTCAACCTCTCTGAGCCCGGCTGGTGCCTTTGTGCTGCATTGCAGGTGCTGAGTGTGGCATCTAGGAGAGGAACGAGGGCCTTGACAGGAAGTGACAGCCGGAGATGTCTCCTTCTTGGATGGCAAAGTAGTACCTGGTTCCCTCTGTATTGTGCAGAGCTGTTTTTAGACGTGTGAGTGCTGCATGGCTTTGATCCGTTACTGTAAATGCATTTAGGTACGAGACAGGCAGTTTTTGTAAAGACACGTTGCCTCCTTCTGCTTCCTTTTCATGTCAGTACCAATGTCGGAGTGAAATGGGAGTCTTGGACAGATTGTGTTCATACCCTAAGCAGTGCCCTGGGAGACACATGTCATGGTGCAAATGCTTTGTGTGTGGCACAGTTATATCACTAGCACTTCCCACTGGGGAGTCTTAGCTTCTGCCTCCCTGAAAATGGCACGGAGATGGGAGAGTTCCTAAAATCCACCTCAGGGCCTTTTTTGCTCCATCTCTTTCTCTGTGTCCCATGGCAGCGACTGAAATAGAAAGAGAGAGGAGGAGGAGGAGGAGGAGGAGGAGGAGGAGGAGGAGGAGGAGGAGGAGGAGGAGGAGGAGGAGGAGGAAGGTGGGTTTGTCTGAGCTCTCATGCACTAGGCAAGCAGATTTAGACTCCAAGTGTCAAATAGAAAAACAGCCATTGTGGCCGGGTCCTACTTGCCCCCCCACCAGTAGACTTTACAGTCAATAGAGCTAGTCCACTTGTCACAGAGGGACAATGCGCCCCTTTGCCTCCCTTTCAGCCCCTGCCGGGTCCGAGCAGCCAGACACTTTTCTGAATAAGACCCAGTGATTCTTGCCCCCTTTTCTCTGCCTCTTTTCTCTCCGTGGAACACACGGTTTTGGAAAAGGGCTTCGCTGGCCCGGAGCAGAAAGCGCCAGATCCTGTTATTTTCTACAGCATTGGCATCCCCTCAAACCACCCCCCCCCCCCCCCTCCTCTCCGACCCAAACGCTCACAGGGAAATTAATGTATCTTAAGCGGTTGCAAAAGTCAATGGGCCTCCCCACACAAAGGCGATTAAGTCTGGCAACTTAGCGGTAACAGGTGTACTTAGACTGCGTTCGGACCACACGGGGGCGACCGCCTGAACCTCGGCTCTGTTTGGCCTCCCGACGGTTTTTAAATATGTGGAGTGTGTTCTCAGGATGTTTCAGACTTTAGAAATGTAGCCAAGAATATGTTTGGCCTCTCCTCATTTTTCACTGCTCTGGAAAATCTAACTCGGTTTTGTTGCATCTCTCCGGTGATTAGCCGAGTCCTCTCCAAAGGGACTCTGCAGATATCTTTAGATCTGGCGCTGTGCTCACCCATGGGAGCGAGTTAAGGGTAAACAATGCGGGCACACAGAGGAGGAAAGAACTATCAGAGGGACCAAAGCGTGAATACATTTTCACATTTAAAACGGAGACAGTGATGTTTTAAGAGGGGAAACGTCTTTCAAAGGGAATGAGTGAAGCCTTTTCTATCCACACCTTCAGTGTTTCCCACCACAACAAATGAAGCCATTCAGCAGGAGTATAAACAGACACTCAGCGCCGGAGCAAAAACACTGCCGGGGTTGTTTGTTTCACTCGTTAATAAAGCTTTTACCCGGAGCCTCAGTCCTCAGAAAAAGCCCATTCTGGTGAAATGACTTGGCAAAGCATCCGATGAAGGGTCTGTTCAGACTGAAGCTGCTCCCGCTGCCATTGTCTCTCTCTCTCTCTCTCACCTACGAGTCCAGAGTAAGCACACAATGTCATTGTTGCGTGAGCTGTTAATATCAGACGCTTCACAATAGAGCCCATTCGACATATTTGCATAAGGCACTTTTCCAACAAGGACCCGGAGAGGGCTTGAAAGCTGGCCCACTCCAGTGCCAATGGCAAAAACATGTCAAGTGCCAATTAGGAGAGGTTTGCCACCATTCAGCAGTACCCCACCCCTGCAGTCCTTCCCCTCCCTGCGTACCCAGCACCAACTCTCTCACACCCCAAGTCACCCCTGTTTTTACCACCTTATTCCAATGTCAGACGTAGCCTTCCCCTGCTGACACCCAGAGACAAAAGCTGGCTCCCTCCTCGGCCGGCTAATGGAGGATCCTTTCTGCCGGGCTCAGAGCATTAGAGGAATCAGACGGCGCTCTGTTCACCGATTAGCCAGCTTTCTTTGTTGATTTCTTTCAATGGAACGGTTCGTGAACTATGCGGCTAAACCTGGGAGGTATGCTCTCCACCTGCTCGTGAAGATGGAATTTAGCAAGCTGGCTTTAAATGTGCGGGTTTGCTCGGGCCGGTGTGAGTGAAAGAGAGAAGAAGAAAAAGACAGCCGCAGATTTGAAGCAATTACAACCTTTTTCATATTTCCACTGAGGTCAGTCTGCGTTGGTGCTAATAGCATTTAGCTAATGACTTGCTTGAAGCTATCCTGCTGATTGTTTCTGCACTAATGCACAGAGGCTGCTATTATGAGAAAGGCTGCAGTCATTTGAATTGTGAGCAGCGGCTATGAATCAGCTGTTAAAGGAAATGCACAATAACACAACAGTTAGATTAACCGGAGCTACGTCAGACTCATGTTAGCTTAACTGCAGAGTGTCAACAATGCTGCACAGATGTTGACACTCCTCGCCATGCTGACAAAAAGCTGCATTGTTTCTAATTAAGTTAAACTGCAGCTGTCAGATGCAAAGTATGTGGTGACAGGAACGTCATTAGTGTCCTTGAATCGAAGTAGCTAACGGTGTGTTTACATTCTGGAAGCTTCTGCTACAAACGGCAGAAACGTCAAATCAATAAAAGGAACGTGAGATCCTGTAAAAATTACAAGGATGCATCAAATGACATAAAGAAATGACGCCGTAAACACAATAACAGACGTAATCGTGTTTGTCCGATTGGGCTGCCGTTGTTTTCCACAGAGCATTTACCTAACTTACCGCCTCCTGCCACTCAAAAGGGTTTCTCTCTTGTCCCCTTTTCGCTTTCATTCTTTCATTCAATCTCTGTGTCGAGTTTTTTTTTTTTTTTTTCTTTCCCACCCTTGATTCTCAGATGGTTGGATCTGATTTGCATGCATTTGCATAATGAAAGTCATTTGCATGCTCAGGGGCAGACTGTACCATGAGAACAGACATGAAAAGGTGTGTGTGTGTGTGTGTGTGTGTGTGTGTGTGTGTGTGTGTGTGTGTGTGTGTGTGTGTGTGTGTGTGTGTGTGTGTGTGTGTGTGTGTTCATGCCCGTGAACTGTACGTATGCGTTTGGATGGATAAACCACGTTTAAAGGATTCTCTTCTTGCCCTCTGCTCCTCCAGGTTTCCAGCGCCTCACCACTGAAGGGACGCTGGCAAAAGGAGACTGAAAACAGAGAAGAAGAATATGGAGGAGGAGGAGGGGTTGCTGTTGATTCTGCCCTCCCTCTCTCCTCACCCTCCTCTGCATCGCCTCCTCCCTTCCTCCCTTCCTCCTCCGCTCCATCCTCAGCCCCTTTTCCCCGTGCAGCGAGACGCAGCCCTCGCCACCATCTTAGAGCAACGCTGGCATGAAATGGAAGTGGAAAGACCAGTGCAGGTAAACACACCGACCGACCAAACCCCCGACCCTCCACCTTCTCCGCCTCCCTTCTTCCTTTTGTTTTTAATCACCTCGGTTATGTTTGTTAATTGCACGATTCACAGCGATGGGTGGGGGGTGGGGGGGGCGTGATACGTGTGTTCACATGAAATCACTCTGCTCTCAACGCGCCTTCCAGTGGGCATCTGTCCTCTGAAGCGCCATGTTTCTCGTTGCCGTTTGGGAACCATCGTGCCACCCTCACACTCGTGCCCCAACATGGCGGCGACGGCTGCCATTTTGGAGACACGACACATGCCGTGCCTTCTGGACGTTGCAGTGACACAATTCACGACTCCATGTAGTTGCGCTCGGCAGTATATCTTGCCCACAGACCATAGTTTGCTGCAACAGACGGTTCTTCGTTCTACATTTATTTTTTTTAAAAACAGCTTTTCTTCAACTCCTTAAAAGGGGTCGGGAGAAATGTCAAGGTGAGCACATCTCTGGAGTGGAAAGGGATGATATCCATGAACAGCGACACTGCAGGATGAAACAAAACCAACTCAAAGCAGGAAGAGATGGGGAAGGTCTCAGCACTGGAAAGCTTCTCTTTGTGCGAGTGTTTGAGGGTGCTCAGACAAGTCGAGTATTGTTCTCCCTGAGCGAGCTCGTTACAGCATTATTCCAACCGGAGAGCTCACAACTTTGAAAACCGCTTAAAACCAAAACACCAATTAGTATTGGCCGGGCTTGATTAGGTGAGGCAGCCGGTAAACAATGCACACCATTGTCCCCGCGAACACAGAGAGCTCCCTTTGTGTGTGTCGACGGTGTCGAGGTCAGAGAGACAATGCTAACTTACAGTCCATAAGGCTGGCAGAGAGACGGCTGTGGGGTCAAGGTGACAGACGAAAATGAAACTGTTGCTAGACAAAGGAAATCATGGAGGGTCCGAGGTGACTTGATATCAGAGAATCAGTTGGTGAAAGTTTGAGGTGTTTAGTTTCTCAAATGATTTCCAATATTTACAAACCTTAATCAATCAAAGTTTATTTAAATTGCCCAATATCACACATTTGACCCTCTGTCCTTAGACCCTCACATCGGACAAGGAAAGTCCCCAAAGAAACCTATAATGTTATAAAACTCGAAAAGAAAGAGGACGGACTTACATATCGAAGTCGTGTGGAATTAAAAAAGTTAATACATTTACAACATAGTCCAAATGCTAGAAAAATCTTAAGTAGTGCTCGTTTTGAAATGAGGTCATGCCAAGCTTTCTGCATTTACAAAACATACAAATATGACAAGGAAAGTACCCAAGGAAACCTATAATGTAAATAGGAGGGATCCGTCTCCAAGGACACACATACATATCGAAGCCGTGTGTAAATTAAAAAGATAATACATTAACAAGATGCCAGAAAAATCTTCAGTCGTGCTCGTTTTGAAATGAGGTCATGCCAAGCTTTTCAGAATTTGAATTTTTTTATTTTCCGCCGCCGCCACCTTTAAAAGCGAAGGCGTTCCTCTCGATGTTAACTGTGTCAAACTCGAGGCGCACTAATTACGGCCGGCCGCCATAAAACAGGTGGTGGATTGAGCTGAAGGGGCCGTTCTCAATTTACTGTGTAAATTATGCAGAGCCCAAAACAATGCAGACAGTAGACAGTGGAGAGGCTGGCGGTGGCTAATGAGATGATGAGAAGGAGGTGTTTTGGGGGGGGGGTAGGCAGCTTGTGTCTGGACCAGGGGAGCAGACACTGTCCCGTCTGAGGGGGGGGGGGGCGGGCAGCTGGGCCCCCATTGCACCACCATCCTTGGGAACCTCTGTGGAAAAGGGGCCCCCCAATAGTCTGTCTGCAAAACCCCCATCACCACCACCACCGAACAACAACACAACAAAAGGCTTTATTGTCGTACGCGTCAAATGATCATACAATCATTCAAAACATTTAGTCTTACTCTGACTCAAGACTCAAGACTCAAGACTCAAAGGTCTTTATGCACAACGCCACAGAGTGGAAATGGACATGAAATGCTTCTGACCTGAGCTCCTCCAAAAGTCCAAAATAAAAAGTGGTCCAAAAAGTGTTAAATTGTATTTTCAGTCTGATGAAGCTGCTCTGCTCCCGCATTCGAGATCGACTTCACTTCTAAGAAAAGACTAACGTTGTCCTTGAATCATTGATCAGTTTCTCTTAAGAAGTTCCTCCACAGCACGCAATGAGAAACTCCTCCAACAATGCTAGATATATACGAGACATAAATACAATTAATAAAACGAGAATTTAGGATTTGTTGTTGTCACAGCAGAATGTTAAAACAAAGGCATTGGAAATAAACATCTCAAAACAAAAGAATAAAACAGAATTCAAAGTAAATGACATGACAGTGAAAGATAACACCTGTAGACTATCCGTCAAATAAGCAGAATGACCGGCCAATTAACAGCTAACAACATTTAAAAGTAGGATATCATTTGGTGTTATTCATTAAGAAGGCAAAGAATATCATATTCAATTAAAAGGACAAAATGAAGTAGTGGAAGAGACTAGTCTTACGGCCTGCTCCAACAACTGGACATCTTCTGATGAGAACATGCTTTACACCGGACACCTTTAACTGAAGAGGTCACAATGCAGGGAGATTCAGGCTCCTGCTTTTAGGTCAAAGACTTGAACACATCTCATCTTGAGTTGCATCTCAGATCTCAGTTAAGCTGCTGCGGTATTTTTCTATAAGATGGAACATTTTAGTTTCAACAAATAAATCTCACTTGATTTTAGAAAACACATTTTTATTGGAAAATCACCACATCAGAAAACCTTTGAGCATTTCTGACTTGATCCTTGTAGTTTAAAATAAGCTTTCTCATCTGACTACAAGACATCATTTATCTAAATATCCCGTCTTACTTCCAGAACTCTCCCCAGGCTAAATGTCACTTTATCTATCGGCCGATTTCTTCACTTATTACAAGCGAACGCCTTGTTTTTATGATCTTTTACTTGATTTTGGAGCAGCATTTTTTCCAATGTCGTGGGATAAAACTGTCCCATCTCCTCCTCCCGCTTTCCTCCCCCTCCCCCTCCTCCCTCCCTAATGTGAGTTTGGGGGCCTGGGAAGGACTTCAAGTTCATGTCCAGACCTCCTATTGAGCTGACAGCTGACTGTTTGCTCAATTCGGGGTCTCTATTCAGAGAAAGGGCTGGAGGATGGGTGTTGCTAGATGGGAGCACTGTGATAGCTATTCATTCAACGGGGGTGTAGAGGGGGAGACAAGAGGGAGTTTGGGGGTGGTTTTAGTCGGGGTGCATAAATAAAAGAGTGAGGAATCCGGGCTCAGAGTTTGCTTTGAGCGGTGTGCGCCTCTCTCACACTCTTTTAGACTCTTAATTACCGGCGCCTTCCACTTTTCTCACTCTCCTTTCTCTAACTACAACCTCCCCCCCCC